CTAGAAATTAGAGCTGCAGCCTATCTTTGGCTGTAGTTTTGCTCAGTATCCAGAAAATGGAGAGTCATGGCATAGAAGCAGGCTTAGTGGGCTCATCCTTAACTTGTTTGTAAACAGTCTATATATTGGCAATAATTAAATTTTGAGGGCTTGTTGGGACAATGTTGAAACTTTAATGCACAACTGTACATTTTAAAAGAATTCTTTGTGAAACTATACTTTCTGGCAACCACATTCATATTAAACATCAAGAAGAAACAACATGTTTACAAGCTTTTGCAGGTTCTAGATATAATGATGGCCAGACAGCTTTGGATGGCCAGACAGGCTTTGTTCCCAGCCTTGCTTGTTAGTAGCAACGAATACTGTGACATCAGTTCTTGGAACCACATAGCATTTTGTGGCAGATGATGGTTGACTTCCATATTTCAGAGCTGTGATGATACATCGTTTTCACATGTATGCTTATGAGTGTCTGTCTGAAAAGCTTCTCGGCTATAACACTTTTTTTTTTTGAGGAAATTCTTTTCAGTGACTAGTAAGTATACAGAATTCTGACATGTGGGCATCATGCTAGAGAGTTCATAGTGTCCATTAAGTTATCGTGATATGTATCTAAAAGCTCTCTGAAGGTTTTTGCAGCCATTGTATAATCTCTGACTGAAGATACATAGCCACATCAAGCAAATCAATCCATAATTTGATGTTTTCTTGATACTTGCCCCACAATGCTGTCAGTGAGCAATATTTTCTTCTGTCATCAGTTGACCAAAAGTTTCTCATCGGTCCAGATATATGGTGAAGTGAATTTGCTTAGGGTTGTGCCTCTATCGTAGATTACAGTAATGTAAGTATATTTTGAAATTCACCAGTTGCAGTATACCTAAATCTCATCAGCAGCATGGACTACTGTACGCATACTAGTTTTTGAGGTAGGTTGCTGTAAAGGACAGTTAACTGTGATGCCTGAATTCAAGATGTGTGGTAGACTGTCCTAAAAAGATTCTCAAAGCTCAAAGGTTGAGTATTTGACTGAAAACTTTTGTTTCCAGGGCAAAGTGAAGCTTTTTTGCATAAATGATGTTGAATTCAAATGACTGCTCTGAGTGGTTAGTGTAATATGAAGTAAAGAATACTTAAGAGCACCTTACTTTGCTCTGAAAGGGCAAGGTATACTTTTCACCCCTTGGGCTTCTGAAGTGCACAGGAACAGGCAGGCTTACGATAGACAAATCACTGCACTACTTCCTCCTTTGAGAACAACTCGGAAGAATAGGTGTTGCTTATTGCATAGTAGTTGAATGTTGTGATAAAGATTGTGTAATAGCCTCTATAAAGACTTGCACTGAGAAGAGCAGACAGAATCAATTTACAGAGGTAGAAGTAGGAAACTGGTGGATTATTATGTGCAAGATATTTTCATCGTACAAAACAAAAATTTACATTAGGTGGGGAAAAATCTCAAGTTCTAAACCATTACCTTATCGTAAAAGTAAAGTTTTATGCTAAGTGACCACTGTACATATAGTTAACAAAATTTATGACGTTAGTAAAACCAAGGGTTGAGTATTATTCTTCTATAATAAATATAGTCGTTTCATCAGTAAATGTTCAAAGGATGATGTCAGAGTTTCAGTAAAATGAATGAAGTATATCTGAGTTCTTAAAGCATATAATACTATTTTTAAGGAATTGACTTTTTACAATCTTCATGATTTAAAAAAATCTTACGTTGTACTATGAGTCTTGGTAAGAAATACACAACTCTTTTACTCTTGATTTGAATGTTCTGAAAATACTCTTCTGAAAATTTATTCTGAATTATTGGCTGATGCAGTTTGACAGACTTGGCTATCTGCTACTGGAGGAAGAGTTCTTTTTCTTCAATGATTTTTTGAAAGGAGAGAACTTAAAATTTATGCTTGTTATTTGAGAATCTATTTTAAGAAAGCAACCTGAGTTTAAAACTTACTTTTTTCAGTTCCTCAGATGTTAGCAATGATGGTTGACTTGGAAGAAGATGAAGATTGGGCAAATGCAGATGAGCTTGATGATGATGATTTTGACAGGTAATTACGAAACTAGTTGTTTCAATATATTATTAAGACTGTGTGGCTAAAGGCAGATTTTAAGTGCAGGATGCAAATGACTGCAGTGCATTACTTTTTCTTTATTCAAGTAATTCTTCTAATTTTGTTCCCTCGGTCATGAGTAGTATATATGACTGTTCCAGACAGTTTATATGTAGGTTATTTAGGTACTGTTCAGCAAATAAGTAAATTCTTTCAGTATTCGTGTATTGCTGTAATTTACTTCTACAAGTTGCATGTCCTCTTGTCTGTTTTAATTTTTCAAACTTCTGTTTCTTCTGTCATTTATGTTACTCAGTTCAGAAGTCGGTGCCCCTAACACTTTAAATTGAGGGCTTATCCTGAAGTTAGCTGGAACCAAAGCTGAAGGATACTGACTTGTTTAATCATCTACAACCAATCTCTTCATATTTTTCTGTATTTATGCCCTTGAAAAGGTGGTGTTAAAGAAAAAAGCTGCCTACCTTTGAAGGACATCAGAATGCATAGTGGAATTCCTTGCTGGGTTTCATCTACTCAAAAATACTACGATTTTGCTGTTATTTTACATCCCTTGGAATGGCTGGCAGTAGCTTATCTTGTTGTGTCTTAGGTGAGAAAGATCTGCTAAAGATGTCGCAGTCTTTCTGATCTGCTTATTCCTGCATGCTTTGTGGCTTTCTCCAACTTTTCATTAGAATGACAATGGTTTGTCTACAGCATTCTCTTACATCTGCTTTTGTCCAAATACAGTTAGAATGAAGCAGAAGAAAGCAGAAATATGTGTAGGAGATATCTCCACATTTCTGTAAAGACACAGATGTTCATTTACCAGTTTAGACACTTTTTGCCACATCTGGCATCTCCTTGAAGACTCAAATGTAATTAGTGTTTCGAAACAATTTGTCACAGAACACTTTGAGATATTCATAGGAAGATAGGCAATAGAGATGTTGATTTACTGCTGAACTGTATAGCAACTTCTACTAGATATCGGGCATATAAAGACACTTGCAAAATGGATACGTAGGAATTTATGGAAGAACATATTTAATCTCTGCTTGACTTGGAATACTTCTTTTTGTTCCCCTTGATTATGGAATGGAAAGTAAGCTGTCCTTTCTTCCTCCCCTCACATGGTAGACCAGACCCTTTTAACCTGTTTCGTTTCCTCAACTTTGAAATTTTGCCATACAGGTAGAACTGTCAGACACCACTGCATTCAAGTTTGTCAAGTATTTGAATCTTTTCATTCAGCTAAATTTCAAGGAGAAATAGAATATTAAAGTTCAAATCCTCATCAAGCCTTTCAGGGTGTGGAAGTTTATTCAGATGGGCTGCTTTAGGCAGCTTAGTAAGTACTCTGAATCATCCCCTTGAGGCATGCCAATTTCTCTTTATTGTCAGCAGAGTAACTTTGTTCTTCTAAACACAAGTTAGCTGCCTATGGATTTTAGAGTGAAAATTTTCCCTTTTTTTGTTACAAGTTGCAAGTAGAGTGAGCAAAGATCAGAAAATGAGGTATGCTCGGCAATGTTAGCCTAAAGGAAAAACTTAGCTCCTTTGGCCCCCCAAGTAATGGGAGAACTTGAGGCTTGGACACAAAATACTGGACATCGGCTAGTCTCTGGTGATTGTGTGTGTGTGGTGTTAGTTTTTTCTTTTAGCTGGTTCACTCATGTTTACTATGTATTTCCCACCACTGAAGTGGAGAGTTATTGATTAGCTGATGTGCATGCTAACCTCTTCTGGTGCTTCAGTCTTTGTAGCTTCATAAGAAGCCTGGAGTTTCTATGCAGTCCAAGAAACAGGCTAATGCTCATCAGGCTGTAGCCTAGTTAGGGTGTGTTCGGATCTGACTAAGGGGGATGTGAGTCAGCCTACACAAAAGCATCAGGGAATATTGTAGCATTTCCAGTTTTTTGTTGCTCTGACTTCATAGAGCAGTGAAATTCTAAAGGAGGAAAAGGTTAATCCAACTTCCTCTTTTCCTGGCAAAAGCCTTGCACACATTGTAGGGAGGTATGTGGTCATTTTTCTAAGATAGACTATCTTTATTTCCTCAAACTGAATATATGAATTAATGGTGGGAGGAAAGAGCTCAAGGAACGTAATTTCAGACGAAAGCTGCCATTAACTTCACTGAGTTTGCTACAATCCAAAACTGTGTGCCCATGCTCTGTTGTCCTGCTGGTGATGCGTCTGTTTATTTGAACAGGACTGATCTGAAGGACAAATACAATATTGTCAATATCTTTGCACAAACACCTTTGTTCACAGCATGTGAGTTTCTAGACTGTTTATGGTTTGTAATGAGACTTGGGGATTCAAGCATAATAGTTCGAAGACCTCTATTTCTGATCCAGCTGCCCGATACGTGAAAGAGGAGGGAGATTCATCCCCTTCTGAACCATTACTCAGTTTTTCCATCAGCATGGGGGTCTAGGATGGACTGTAATAACCTTGAGTTATTAGAGTGCTAGCCATACCCAGACTGTAACAGTAGTTATCTGTGTCCTGGAAACTTTCTCGCTTTTCTGTAGGGAATAATTCTATTGGGTGGAACAAGTCACTTTACACAGATGATGTTTGGCAATTCTCACTTCTGGAATGGGCTGAGAGTCACAAATTCCCACCGGGACTGGATGTTTTCTGTCTGAGTCATTGGCAAGAGGACAGGCTACTAGAGTACTGGTACTGCAGCCATGCAGGAAAAGTCTCTTGTGCTAAAGCTTGAATTCTGCTGGTTCACCTGATTCATAGCAAGTCTGAATTGGTTTGTGTTCTCATGACAAAAAGGTGATGGCCAGTATTATTGCTTAATTCATTGCAAATTTAGTTTCTGCTTTCTAGGTATGTGTAATTGTTGCAAAACTCCAGTCTGTACGTTCAGGACTAGTAAGGCCCAAGTTTCTTTGGTAGTAGACTTAATCAATGAGCTACAGATAATAAATGTTTAGGTGGAGCGTAAATAATTATTTTGTGACTGGTGTTGTGTGCTTTTAGGTTTCGGTATGCTTTATTTACTTATGGAGGCCCATGTGTATTCAGATGGCAAAAGTTTGAAGACTAGAATTGCAGGAAAGGGCACTTCTGTGCCCTGTTGGACTGCTTATTTTATTGTAGATATCAAACCACTGATGTTTCTGTAACTGATATTTAGCAATGCAGTTGCTGGTGAGAGTGCACTGGACAGGATGGCATGTGGCCTTGGAGGAAAACTTGTTTTACCTATGATTAAAGAACATATTATGCAAATGCTTCAGAATCGTAAGTAACTGCATTTTCTTTTTTTTTTTACAATTCTATCCTTTCCAGGAACTTTGATACCTCTTAAATCTTCATGTTTAGCTACTTAATATATTTTTATACGCTTCCACTTCTGATTTCAGCAGCAAAAACTGTAAAAGCTGTGAACTTGGAAGTTTATACCTTTTCTTAGACTAATTTATTAAACTTATGTACAGTGCATTATAACATTTTTCTGGAACATGGACAGCTGAATGGAGATGTCAAAAACAAAACAGTACACTTTTTAAAAACTCAGCCTGTGAATTAAATATGAATAGCGGAAGACTTTTTTTTTTTAAAACTGTGGAATATTCTCTCTAAATGCCTGTACAGTGCCTCACAGTACCTTAAGTGTGCCTAATCTGCCACCTGTTATTCTGTAGCTCAATTTTTTTGTTTCTTCAGAAGTGCTGCATTTAAGTGAAATTTTAATATGTTACAGTTCATAGAGGAAAACTTGTTCTTTTTTTTTTTTCCCATAATTTGATGGACCAAAATACAGAAGTCTGTGGTAGGCTGTCTGTCTTCTGGTATGCTGATTTTTAATACTTGTTTCATGAGGTAGTTCCATATATTCTTATCAGTTGCTTTGTATGCTTCTTTTCCTCTTAAAATACCTGTAATGCTTGCTCAGGCAATCATTCAAAAAATATTGTGCATTTGTTGCATGCCCTTTCACTTGACCTGTGCTTTCAGCCTTGGAAGTAGAAGATAATGCAAAAGTTCTGAGTACTTTTCCCACCTTCATGATTTAAAACCCAGTCCAAAAAAGACTGTTACCATATTGGATATGGAACATAGGGCTGCTCAAGGTACCACTTGCAGAGTGTGAACACTTATAAAGTCTATTTGGAGTGAAGTTTTTTGGTAAAGAAAGTTTTATTAAGGGAAACGGATTAACCTGACTTGTCCAGTGTTAATAGCTTTAAGGCTAGCAAATGCCTAGTTTTGTAGTACCCACAGAAAGGTGTGGAGTCTAATGGCTGTAAGACCTGACTCCTGTGAAGGGGAGAAGTCATGCAGTTGATGCTTTCTTTCTGCTGGGTCAGAGCTTTCCATAACCATTAGTACTTTTTGGAAAAGGGAAATGCAATAGATATTGCTTGGTTCAGAGGCTCTCACTGGTAGGGAGTTGGGAGGAAAAATGAAGACATTTAGATCAAAACATCATCAATACTCTCAGGAATCAAACTTTACCTTCTCCAATCCCCAGCGCTTTTCTCACAAATGTTTATTGAAATAATAATAATCTAAAATTTCTGGGTTTTGATTGGGTAGCCAGAGGGTCTGAACATGATTGCGTTTCATTTTGTAGTATCATTAATTTCAAATTTGGAATTCATGCTGATAGTAATTTGGTGAGAGTAATGAGAGGTGCAAGCTTAACTAGGAACATCCAATGAACTTAAATAGCAGCAAAATAAACTGCTTTTTCACTGTACGTTCTGTCAAGGTGATATTTCATCTCATCCTGATCAAACAGAAGCTTGAGTGTCAGGATTCCAGTACTCTGAACTGTGGTGTTCTCCATTCCAGGAATTTAATAGATTACCAGCAACAATGAAATCTTGCGTTATTTTGGAAAAGAAGTTCTGTTACATGCCTTTCCCACAGGTTGTTTGATAAACCTGTTTGTTCTTGTGGGTTTTTTTTCTGTAATCCTCATGGCACAGAGAAAGATTTTTGTGAAAATAAAGAAATTGGAGTTTCTCATGTGTTTCTCTGGCCTAAAGAAAAAGAAGGGTGTGAAAGATCCGTTTCAACAATACCCACTAGCCTGAGAATAGGCTAATAGGACTTGGAGGCGGGGGGAAAGCTTTACATCCCTAAATGGAATGTTACTGTTTTTAAACAGTTGTGGGGAGACTGCTGGAAAGTTTAGTTCTGATTATTTATTTGTTTTAAATTTAGATACTGTTTGGTTCACTAGACCTTTTTTCCTTCCTGACCTAAAGAGGAAGGTATAGGCTGTTTGATATATTTAAAAAAAAAAAAAAAAAAAAGAAAAGAGGGGGGCAGGGAGAAATACTGTCTTGATGTTTCCCTGATTAGCTTGTTTAATGAAAATGCAGTTCCCAGGTTTTAGTACCATGTACATACTTGTATCAGCAGTTTAGAATTCTTTTTTCTAGGTCTGGATTTGGCCTGGATTAGATACTCAATTTTTTGTGCATCTCTGGAAGTATGTATGAGGAAAAGTGAAAAGTATTTAACAAATCAAGTAGATGCATCAATTTCACTTCCCTCTCCTATTCTTCACTCCTCTTCCTCCTCCTGTCCCATCCCCCCGAAAAAGGTGATTTGTCTTTGTGGTTTCCAAAATGAATAATATCTATTTATTTTCTTTTTACTCATCTGTAGCTGATTGGAAATACAGGCATGCTGGCTTGATGGCACTCTCAGCCATTGGAGAAGGTTGCCACCAACAGATGGAGGGAATTTTAAATGAGATAGTTAATTTCGTTTTGCTATTCCTTCAGGATCCTGTGAGTTTCATTCAATTAATTGTTTAAAAATGTTTTCATTTCTGCTCTCATGACTACTTGTTAACGATTTGAGGGAAATACTTTTTCAGCATCCAAGAGTAAGATATGCTGCTTGTAATGCTATCGGACAAATGGCAACTGACTTCGCACCTGGTTTTCAAAAGAAATTTCATGAGAAGGCAAGTAGTAGAATAGTCACACACAAAAAAAAAAAGTGGTAAAACTATGCCCCTTTCAGAAACTTGTTTTTCTGAAAATAAACACTTCTGTTTCAGGTGATAGCAGCTCTTCTGCAAACCATGGAGGATCAAGGCAACCAGCGTGTTCAAGCCCATGCAGCTGCAGCACTCATAAACTTCACTGAAGATTGTCCCAAGTCACTACTTATCCCGTATTTGGATAATCTAGTGAAGCACCTTCATTCCACTATGGTGATAAAATTACAAGAGGTACAATATACTGAAGAAATTGCTTCAAAGAGGGTAATCTGTCACATACGCAGATGAACTGAAATGTGTGAAATAAGCCAGTAGACATATCTGCTGATGTTGCTATAAACTGACGTGAATTAGGATACATAAAGAGAGTTTTTTAGATTTGGCATGCTTTTAAGTAAAATATGTGCTTTAGAAATATAATGCTTTATTCTTCCTCTTTCCAAGTTGATACAGAAAGGCACTAAGCTAGTTTTGGAGCAAGTTGTGACTTCAATTGCATCAGTTGCAGATACAGCAGAGGAGAAGTTTGTCCCCTACTATGACTTATTTATGCCCTCTTTAAAACACATTGTTGAGAATGCTGTTCAGAAGGAATTAAGACTTTTACGAGGAAAGACTATTGAATGCATCAGCCTAATTGGTCTTGCTGTTGGTAAAGAAAAGGTAAGCTTGGATCTTATCTAATGGTCTAAATATATTTTAAAGAACCTTTGTTTTCTGCGGTGTTAACACTGAATTAATATATTCACTTGTTAAACATAGAGCTATTTATTGCTGATTTCTGTTTGTCTTCATGTTTTCATTTCTGAGGTAACTGCCTTGCTGTTTAGATTCACGAATTCAGAATAGAATCTTATGAGAACATTACAGCTTAAGTTATTCTCGTCATATTGAACAATGTTGAAAACAAGCATTTTTTTCTTCCTTTTTGTTTTTGGGTTTTGGTTTTTTTTTTGCCTTAAGAGAACTGGAGCATCTCATATAGGCAGTGTCAGAATGGCAGGCAAAATGTCTGTAGTTAAAAGGAAACTTAGTGTTGTTTTTTGTATGTGGATGCCTGAAAAAGTTTAAATGTGCTCATAATAGAACTTGAAGTACTTGTTTGTCATGAAGCTTGATGTATTTAGCAGGGTTTTTTGTTGATGGTAAGTTGGTTAAAATGTGTCTCTGTAAAAGTACTGAGAAACAACTGTGAAGGACTATATAGGAGTCTTAAGTGATGTTCTCATAGCAACTTCGCATTACGGCTTACAGATTTTCATTTTATTGAGTGAAGAAAACAGAAAATCACACTTTGAAGTAAAATAATGTGATGTACACAGTACGAAAGTCCTAATAGCCCCCAAATTACCAGCCCTTTCCTTTGACTTAGAAGGACTACCAGTAAACTTGCCATTCATGCAACTAAATTTTAAACAGATTTTAAACATAACTAATGTTTAGTAAGTTATTCTTGGAGGATAACGGGAATGTGGGGAGTGAAAAGAGGATAGGTGTCACCTCATTGGGGCATCTGATGTGACCTAAAATATTACTAGCACATGAGTAAGTAGCTCATGCTGTCAGCTTTTATCCCAGTTCCATAAAGGAGTCAAAATAGTAAGGAGGGTTGGAATTTTCAGATTATGTTTTGTGAGTATTAATATTTATGATGTGTTTTATTTCAATAGTCCTCTGCTTTCAAGTATATGAATAGAGGTACAGTGAAGCTTAAGACAAGAATGACTTGGTGATATTTCCAGAAGAAGAATGTGTTTTCACTTTTATCCACATTTCAGTCTCTTTCCAGGTTTAGCTTGTGTCTTGATAGTGTGTTGGACACAAATGCTCACTTAAATTATTTGGTGTTAAGTCTCAGAAATGTACCCTTTTAATTTGCCTTTAAAAACATAGTTGTTTCCTATATCTAGTTTATGCAGGATGCATCAGATGTAATGCAGCTGTTATTGAAGACACAAACAGACTTCAGTGATCTAGAAGATGATGATCCACAGGTATGTTAAAATTGTCTCTTTATAGCGCGTAGCTCTTTGGTTAGTATTAAAAATATTCTTTGTACATGTGACATTTCTTCCCCCCTCCATGTAATTACACCTTCAGACTAATTGTTCAACGTGTCTTACAAAAATTGAGATTGATAGCCCTAAGATGGCCTTAGAATCTTTCACAGAACTGTGTTTAGGAAATGAGACTTCCAGGACCTATGTTTGCTGAAGAAATTTCAGCATGTGGGTAATCATTCCTTCTCTATTAGTAACTACTTTGTTTGACATTGTATGACTTATTCCCTTGCTGTCACCTTCTTATAAATAGTTCAACAAGACTTGTTATACAGCTGTTCTAATGAGTGAACAGCTATTTTGACTTGTGCATCTGAAAACAAATACTCCTCTTAAAACACAGTACTGCACTCTTTTTTGCTCTGTTTGCTATTTTCAGGAATGTGGGTCAGTAGTATCATTTAAATTCAGGAAATTATTCATTTCAGAAAGAAATTTACTTTTCAAGACAGTCATGATTGCATTACAAGAACATCTGATACTGTCACATTTTTACATATATAGCAACTTTGATCAGAGGTACTGTCAATGCGTTGTTACAAATAAAGACTTGGGACAGGTCTTTTGAAGATACATTTTCATATGGATTGCATATTGGATGAGTTCTTCTCTTTGAAATAAGTTTTATGCACTGCTGACAAATTCTTTTAAAAAGTCCTATTGTATAATATTCTTCCTTTATGCTTTCCTTTTAAGTATGCATTAAAATAAAATGTGGGACATGAAAATTCTAACTCTATTCTCTTTTATAGATTTCTTACATGATCTCAGCATGGGCCAGAATGTGTAAAATTCTTGGAAAGGAATTTCAGCAGTACCTTCCTGTTGTCATGGGACCTTTAATGAAGACTGCATCCATTAAACCTGAAGTAGCTCTTTTAGACAGTAGGTTTAAGATAATGTTTTGCTTGAAAAAAATACTGAAATAAATTATTTTGTAGCACTTTTAGATATTTTTTTTTTTTTTTTTTTTTTCCCCCCCACTTCTCCCCCCGCCCTGTATAACAGCACAAGATATGGAGAATATGAGTGATGATGATGGTTGGGAATTTGTAAACCTAGGAGACCAGCAAAGTTTTGGAATTAAAACTGCAGGCCTTGAAGAAAAAGCAACTGCATGCCAGATGCTGGTGAGTAATAGGACAGTTTTGGTGATCTGTGTATTGCTGGACTATCGAGTCTGAAGCCAAAATCTGTAACGAAAATATTCTTTATAGTATCAAATGAAATAGTTCTGGTTTTCTTTGGGTGATAGTGATAAGTTTGGATTTCAGACACTTTGTGTGTGGTTTACTTGATTAAAAATAGCTTCTTTAGTTTAGAGCTTCAATTTTTAGGATGAACAGATAGTTTTCCTTTGTTAGCAAAACTTTCAAGGAATTGGAGATGTTAGAGTAGTTCCTTTTTGCAAATATTGATGTTTCTGAATTTGGTTTAAAAAAATACACGCATGTACTGAGTGAGAACTGATGCTGCTATTAGGGTTTCTTAAAATACCAGAGTGGAGGGGGTAGGTAAATGGATTATTGCATGTTTGGGGGTTTTTTGTTTTTTAAATAAATTTTAAAACCTTAAACTTTTAACAATCTTTCTCACCATTACATAGTTGAAAAATATTAGTAACAGTGTTTTCCCTTAAAGGTGGCACTTCCATGATTTGTGTTTCAGGTGTGCTATGCAAAAGAGCTAAAAGAAGGCTTTGTGGAGTACACCGAACAAGTTGTAAAGCTGATGGTTCCCTTGTTGAAGTTCTATTTCCATGATGATATCCTATTAACGAATTCTACTGTGAAAATGGAAGCTTAGTTTGGAAGAATCAAACTCGTGCTTACTGTTTTCCTAAATGAATTGAAAGTGTTAGTGTTAAAATATTCTGTTGCTTTGTAACAGAAATTGTTTCTGAGAATGTTGTTTTACACAGTATTTTAGGCAATGTATCTTACCTTTCCCCCTAATTTCTTTTTAAAAAAACATGTCTATAATGTTAAAAGCAAACAACAGAGAAAGTGATGTTTGTGCCAACAAAGTGGAGGAGAACTTGAATAGCTTTTCTGTCATAGCCTGAAACAGGCTTGAAACAACTTTTAAATAGCAAAAATTTTAATTTTCCTATGATTTTAATTTGTATCTAATTAAGAAATCAAATGCACTGGACTGTAATTAAAGGGGAAAAAAAAGAAAAACAATTTCTGGTAGAAAATGAATAACTTTGTTATGGTGATGGGTGCTTGAATTCTAAGCACTCTGTGTTGGTATTGATTGTTTTATTTCCTTAATAATGAAACGTGTTCGAGTGGCAGCGGCAGAGTCGATGCCCCTCCTTCTTGAATGTGCTAGAGTTCGTGGGCCAGAGTACCTCACACAGATGTGGCACTTCATGTGTGATGCGCTCATCAAAGCCATTGGGACGGAACCAGATTCAGATGTTCTCTCAGAAATAATGCATTCTTTTGCAAAGGTAACTTTCTTCCTTACAAATTTTGTGGCGTTACTGTTCGTAGCTTTTTACGGTAAGAAAGGACATATGTTTGATGTTCATTTAAATGGCTGGAAGAAATGCAAGGCTTCCTTTACATGAATTTTGGTTTGACTATAAATGTTGTTAGAGCTGGTTGAAAAACTTAGTCGTACTTTTTTTGCAAGAATGAAAATACCAAAGTATTAACCTAAAATATTTACCAGATTGTTCATTTTAATGACAAACCATAAACTGAAGTTATGTGCATGAAGTGTACAGTGGCACTATGCCTTGTATAATTTGAGCATCAACTACAGTATGAATGTTCTATTAGTAGTATTTCTGCTAATGCTCACTTAAAGCAGAACATGTATTAATATTCTGTGTGCTTAAATTTCATTGAGACTGCTCATGTAACTTAAAGCTGAAAAACTGGTCATTTTATTTCACTAGTGCATTGAGGTAATGGGAGATGGCTGCCTTAACAACGAACACTTTGAAGAACTTGGAGGAATATTGAAAGGAAAACTAGAAGAGCACTTTAAAAATCAAGAATTAAGACAGGGTAAGTTAACATGTGATAATGGCTGTTCTTTAAAGCAGAATTCCTAATAATTTCTGAACACAAAAAAAAAAGCTTAGTTCAGATTTCTTTAATTTGCATATCTATGTAAGGTAATTGGGCTTTGAAACAACAGAATCCATTAATTATATTTGTAAGCTCTGGGAAGATGAAGATGGCATCATTTGCAGAAATACTGTAGTTTAATCAAAAGTTGATGGAGACAGATTTACGTGAAAACAGTTCACATGTCTGGTGTTGTCATTTCTGTGGTTTTTTTTCATCTAAAGTCTTTGCAATTTTCTTAAAGCAATGGTAGTTTCTTATTTCTATGCACTTTTCTGGTCCTTGTGGACAAGCTGGTGTGTTTATTTGTATTTCATGCACTTTTACACATTCTTAAACTGAGCTGTCTCATTATACTTCTTGTTTTTCTGTGAAAGCTCTTTGAAGCTTCTTAGAAAATTCCAGTTGCATCTGCAGCTACTGTTTCCTATTTTCTAAATTTGTTTCTGCATATGTTTTTTTCCCTTTCACAGGCTTCTTATGCACTGGTAGAAATGTAATGGCTTAATATTTGTCTTTTAATTTAGTGAAAAGACAAGATGAAGACTATGATGAACAAGTTGAAGAGTCATTACAAGATGAAGTAAGTTGGTATGGGGAGTTTTTCCACTCATAAAGCACCAGGATGGAAATGTATAACACGGATATGCTATGCTACTCAGTTAAAAGCATAGTACCTCCTCAGAATTATTTCTTCCTGGAAGAATGTTCTGTTGCCATACTCCTTCAAAATTTCCAGTAAGAAATGGATCACACTACATGTGTGAATTAGAAAACATGAAAGGTTTCCTTGTCCAGTATACTGAAGGAAGAAGTTCAGGATAGAGCTCTTCATTTTCTTCATCCTCTCAAACAATTCTTACATTACTGTAAATAGTCTGCTGTCAAATGCTGTATCAGTGATAATCTAAGTCCTAGCCCTGCTGACTTCCTTTTTCTTTGTGCCTTATGACCTAGGTGGCTCTTAACCTTGAGCATACCTCTGATACCTAGACCTTTGATGTGTCAGGTCAGGAGCCTGTCTCAAAAAGAATAGACCTAAAAGAATATCAAAGGATGACAGCAGGATGAGTATCTGGCATAATGTGTTTGCTTATGAGAGAATACCAAAGTGACTACTTAATCACTAAGATACTGAACTGACTTTTTAGTTTGAAGTGGAGGTGACTGTAGAAGAGAGATGATAGTTCTATTAATTCATTATTGGTATGGAGAGAGTAATAAAGAATAATAAGTCACTGCTGCTTATAACATGAGACGTAAAGGATACCTGGTAAATTTAAAAAATAGAAATTTTTTTTGCCACACAGTGCATGTGTGAGGCTTTTGAAGTTGAATTGTTAAGCTTGTCTACATGAGTTTAACCTGTGTGCAGACTCCAGAATGTATCTTAACAGATCATGCCCTCGTCTGTAAATACTTTCTTAAATAACAATGAGTTCTTGAGCCCCTTTCCTTTGGGAACATTAGGCCAGCATTCAAAAGGATAGATTTCTGGTGCCTGCATGCTGCTTGAGATCAAAAAATAACAAAACTCAAGTTCTGAACCAAGAGTCTTTCCTCGTTTTTCTCCCTTTCTTATTTGCAATGTCTACTGTTCATTCTTGTAAACAGTGAGTTAGGCTGTTAGTTATCTTTTTTCCTTATGTGTGTCACTCTGTACTGACAATGAGAGAAAATGCTAGCAAGCAGCCGTTTCAGAGAAGCTGAATCCATACTCTGCAGCAGAGTTGCAAGGCATTTTTTAAAATGCTTTAATTTATATTTGACCTTGCTGATTTTTTTTTTTTAAAGACTGCAAGGAAGACTTATCTGCACTACCCTGTGAAAGTAGGAGTGGGACCAGAATGTCACTTGCCATATGGACAGAATTAACATATGGTAATCAGTAACATTTGGATATACACCTTTGGTCCCAGAATATGATTATGTAGCCCTTACCTCAAGGCAGCAGAAATATAAGGGAGTACAGAAGTCATGAAAGATATTCAAACAGTACTTTCAATAAGATATCCAGATACATCCCTAGCTTAGGCAATAACTAAACTTCTGATTTGATAGAGGGTAGGAGAAGGCATACACTAAGCAAGTGTTATGCTTTCCCCATGAGCATCTGTTATCAGCTATTAGTAAACAGGCAATAACAGGCCAGGTGGACCTTGTGGTGTGCTGCAGCAGTTCTCTATCTGTTTTCATTTGTGCGTATGTTCCAGAGTTACTGCTTGAATTATGCCTTGACAATGCAGAAGTTGTCTAACCAGTGAGGCTTTAAATACCGTGTTGTGGGAAGCTGCCTGTTGCATGAGAAATACTTACTAGTTTCACACTAGGGACCAGAAACTATCTGTATTCTGTTTTCCCTGCCTGTTAAAGTATAAACTGATTAAAGGAACCATACTGAGTACAACAGAACTTGCTTTAAAATAAAATTAGAGGGTTTTCCCAACACAAGTGTGTCCAGGGAATAATCCTCACTTGCAAATATAACGTGAATTGATAGCTGAATCTGAGCTAAGGATTTTTACTTCACCAGTTTGATGCATTAATTGGGCAAGGTGCAAAATGAAGTTAAGCGATCAGAGGAGAGGATTAATATTCCTTATATTTTTGCCCGAATCTTCTGTCGCAGAGGCAGTTATCCATTTACTTTTCAATAAAAGATTGTTACAGTATCTGTAAGCTACGGAAGAGGAAAAGGGCCTTCTGTCTTTTGTAAAGGGAATCCATTGACGCAGTAAATTTGCACAAGACAGTGTTTGTCTTGATAAAATTTTTCTGTCCCTGAAACAAACTTTCAAGTCCTAAGCAACTGAGTACTAGCAATTGACTTACATTTTTAAGAAGGGTAAAAAGGAGGACCCTGGGAGCTACCAACCAGTCTCTCGCCTCTGTGTCCGGTAAGATCATGAAACAGATTTTCCTGGAAGCTATGTCAAGACACATGGAAGACAGGGAGGGGATTAGAGACAGCTGACGTGGCTTCGCAAAGAGCAAATCATGCCTGACTAATCTGGTGGCTTCTATGATGGAGTGACTGCGTTGATAGATTAAGGAAGAGCAACTGATGTCATCTATCCTGACTTCTGTAAGGCCTTTGACATGGCCCCACACAACATCCTTGTCACTAAATTACACACTAAATTAAACCACGACAGAGACATATGGATTTGATGGATGGACTATTTGATGGATAAGGAATTGGCTGGATGGCCATGTCCAAAGAGTTGCATTCAGTGGCTCAATGTCCAAATGGAGATCAGTAACAAGGGGTGTCCCTCGGGGGTCTATATTGGGACCAGTACTGTCCAATATCTTCATTAACCACATAGGTAGTGGGATTGAGCGCACCCTCAGCAAGTTTTTAGATGACACCAAGCTGAGTGGAGCAGTTGATGCGATTGAGGGAAGGCATGCCATCCAGAGGGACCTGGACAGGCTTGAGAGGTGGGCATATGCAAAGTTCAACAAGGCGAAGTGCAAGGTCCTGCACTTGGGTCAAGGCAATCCCCAGTATCAATACAGGCTGCAGGATGAATGGATTGAGAGCAGCCCTGCGGAGAAGGACTTGGGGATACTGGTGAATAGAAAAATTGGACATAAGCCAGCAATAAGCCCATCCAGAGGGACCTGGACAGGCTTGAGAGGTGGGCATATGCAAAGTTCAACAAGGCGAAGTGCAAGGTCCTGCACTTGGGTCAAGGCAATCCCCAGTATCAATACAGGCTGCAGGATGAATGGATTGAGAGCAGCCCTGCGGAGAAGGACTTGGGGATACTGGTGAATAGAAAAATTGGACATAAGCCAGCAATAAGCTGTGCTCGCAGCCCAGAAGGCCAACTATATCCTGGGCCGCATCAAAAGAAGCGTGGCCAGCAGGTCGAGGGAGGTGATTGTGCCCCTCTCCTCTGGTGAGA